AAAAACGCAGTCTATCAGTGTGAATGCTGTATGTCTAGCAATCACATGATGTACTTGGCATACATAGTTAATTATTTATTTTTTTCTTATTTCTTTTTATTACTCCAAAATTATTCTTATTGTATTATTCTAGTGCTCAAATACATCACTTATACGATGTCTAAGATTCTGTCTATTGTTTTATAATTGAAAAACTATGCAGTAGTATGTATAATGACTAAAATAGTTTGTAGAACCCTTCAAATACATTTAAATATTTAGACAAGTCTCAGAAAAACGGTTGCAGGAATCTTTTTTTTTTTTTATGGTATCTTCTTCAGATTTGAAATATAAACTCATGAGATGTGACTTTCAGTCCATTACTTTTCTGGATTGCTCCAGGATTGATTTAGTGTATGTTTAGGCTATATGAAATTAAAAAAAATTGTACCACACTGATTTTTTATTTGCTAAATTTGTGTACATCAAAACATGCATAATAAAAACGCAGTACATACCAGATTCATCGTAATAACAAGTCATAAATGCATCCACTGCTGTAAATCCCAGTTTAATTAGAAAGGTAAGGGTCCACTGAACAACATCCCATAGAGCACTTTTACTCCAATGAAACAATAACATTGAAATATGGATGGTTATTCCTTTGTTTACGTCTCATTTCTTCGGGGAGAGTTATTGTTTGTATCAGTTATGGAATAACTTGTGCTCAAAAAACTGCGTCTTGGTAGTAAAAAGCAACATGGTTTTGTAGCATACAGTGTCACAAACCGAATGAGACCATCCACTACGCAAACAGAATGAGACCATCCACTAAAAAAAAAAAAAAGTAAAAGATCTTGAATCTTGTTTATTTGAATTCTGGTGCTCTCTTCTGATGGCTCGTGACGCACCTGTCATCTGATGGGGACGTAAGCACACTGTTGTCAGGAACTGTTACCATTTTAAGTTAGGTAGGTCATTTTCAGCTGTGAGTCCCAAAATGGGGGATGCAGGTTAACAGGCTAAACATTTAAAAAAAAACTAAACATAATAGTAGTTCAAACCAATGAGAATGAAGTTGTCTCCAGAAAATCATTTCCCATTCTATCTTTTAGGCTTGGTCCACACTAATACATTTCCATTTGAAAACACTTTTTTTTTCCGCTCTCTGTTTTGGCCTTCCATCCACACGGAGATGGCATTTTTGTCAAGGAAAACTGAGCTTTTTGAAAACGCTCTCCAAAGTGGATCATTTTGAAAATGGCGTTTTTGCGTTGTAGAGTGGACTGTAAAAACGGAGGTATTTGAAAACAATGATGCATGTTTAGTTGTGACGCATATTATACCAATAGAAATCGGTGTTTATGCTGGTATTGTGCCTGTTATGTGCTATTCACTTTCACACTGTTGCCAAAGATGTGTAACTTTGTGCACTCTTCATAGTCCTGCAAAGATGACAGAAAATGTACTCACTATTGCTGTTTGCGGCAAAACACGAGGGCAGTTGCGTTTTAGATCAGACATATAATGGTGAGTGAGAGTGAAGTGAATGGTGAGATATTTTGGTAAATATTTCGGACTCTTGAGTACTGCAAGATCACACCGAGAGGGCAAGATTCATCATGGCGGCACGCAGTCACTGAGAGAGCTGTATTCACTATAACTGTATTAACTGTACAAACTGTAGCAATACTGTGGATTATTATTACATACCGACAACTAAGGATGGGACCTGGTATTTAATCGGTCCCGGGGCTAAATTATGAAAGACAGGAGTATCGATAAGCTCGGACATGAACGGTTCTGCTATCGGTACTGGAGAAATTAAGAAAACACATACATTTATTATTGCTATCTATACATTATCTTGCGAATTACATCTTACCAGAGTCACCAGCTGTTTATATATGCAATAATATTCAAACATTTGTCTATGATGCATTTTTGCTATTAGCAATTCAGAAGCGAGATCGCGCTCAAGCGGAGGAGCTTCAGCACATGCAACATGAAAGCCCTGTATAATTATGACAGAAGAGAGAACTGAACATTCAAACATCTGCTTACACTTTAGGCCTGTGGCTGTTTTAAGCTAATTTTATTTTTTTATTTCGATTTTGGCTTCAAAGGATTATAGCTGCGTTTCTTTTAGCGCAATTTCTTTCCCTTTACAGCGTTGCACAATCGTTCCTCCCTAAAACCCAAACTTAAAGTCAGAATCAGCACAATCAGTGATTGTTGTAAAATGCCGTCTTATACTGTTGCTAAATTGTTTGATAAAACTTTGAAAGTACAATCCGCACAAGAGACGCTGTTCCCCCAGGCTGAAATGTGTGCGCGTGGCCATATTGAAAAACTAGAACAATCCAATAACTTGCTTCAAACTAGTCAAAAAACTCAGCGAAAAGATGGACGTGGCCATAAAAGAAAACAAAATAATGAAAGAAACCATCCTGATATTAAACCAGAAGTATGCGTGATAATCTGATTTTCTCTGGTATCCACGAACACCCATCCGACGATCCTGAAGTGATGATCAGAGATAGGGATGTAACAATTACTGGTTTGACGATAAAATCTGTTGTTGCTCCATGGCCTCTTTGTGCGCTTTCTCCATGTTGTTCATTTTCACCCGCATATTTGACTCCTGATACTGAAAGTCTGCTTTCAGCTCCGTCAGCTGGAACAGTAAACAAAGTTATGAAATAATCTTTTCAAAATATACATTTTTCCAAAGTTGTCAAAAGACAATTGTCACACAAATGCAAACCCAAATCCACATCAATGAAATCTTTATATCTTTACTTTAGGGATGTAACGATTACCGGTTTGACTATAAATCATGATAAAATTCCCCACGGTTAGTATTACAGTTTCATATTTTAAATATCGCTGCAAGCAGCAATTACGGGGCCAAGCACTCCAAAGGCAAAATGAGGAGCTAAGCATGGCATGGAGCATCAGTCCAAATGCAACAGAGTAATAAAAGCAATTTTAGGACGATTGTAATTGAAATGGCTGTAAAATCATAAAAACAACCTCCTGTAATATGATTAAATGGCTTATCACTTTTGAGCAACAGGTGGCGCTGTAATCAAATCATTTTGGTGTGTTCTGTGTGAGGGGACAATGGCCAAAGACTATAGAATAGACAAGACGTGTCACTCCTATAGTTTTGAATGGGGAAAAATGCTGTAAAGTCAGCGCGTCACTGCAGCTGCCGTTAGAAGTCCCGGTTGCTATAGAAACAGTCAGCGTTCTGAGACGAGCGCTTAGGACTACACATGCGCACTGGCTGATCTTAGCCTGAAAAATAAGTTGTCAGATTTCTTTGGTGATTTCAAATATGAAATTTAATTGTAAGCTTAGTGAACAGTTTTGGAGAATTTGATGTTTCCCCAGTCAAAGAGATAGGAGTTGCACTTGCATGCCCAAGAGGCGTTTCAAAGATGGCCGCCGAGTGACATGACTTGTCTTAAAGGGACTTTGCAATGGCACACACAAAGTTTGTTGTCATTATGTCAAAGCTTTGCAGAGATATAGCCTTAAGCCCAATTCGGACTGTAATTGTTTCTCATGTGGACGGCTGTAAAAATAAATGTACATATCAGCTCAGTGATAAAACTCATGGATTCGGATGGCGATTTATTCACAGTGGAGGAGTGAGTTCTGTGATCCTACGCACCTGGGAACGCACTGCTCACGTGACCAGTCACATAATTGTCTGCTGTAAATAAAATGAATTTTATATACAAATTTATTCTTAGTACAGTTTTCTCGATTGCTTAAACACTATCACCAGGCTTTTGAACTAAAATTTCAAAACCATAACACCATTTATCAAAAAGCACACCCATTTCCCTAAACTATAAACACTATTCCCCTTTTTGACACATGAATCAGATTTGTTGAACTGTCACTGCAAAACTCTACACACAAATACCTTCATTTCTCATTGCCTAGACCATGTTGTAATTTAGAAAGCACTAGCATTTAATATTGTTCACTCAAGTCAGCATAGCTTGAGCTCAATTAGATTTTGACCTGAAAATAGGATGTTTGGGGAATTGGGTGAGACGTTATGGATTTGTGTTTACTGTTTTGAGAATATGAGGCATAGTTTCAAGAAATGTGTTTAAGCAATCGAGAAAAACTGTATTCCAAGCATATTTTATAATATATAATCCTATTTATTATTTGATTGCTTAAATCTCCTGTTTAAAAATAGGAAAATAGACGCGCTATAGTTGTATATAATTATACATGATATAAACATATATATATATATATACATATATATATCTGTTTATAATAATACACATTTTAAAATTGTATTGCATACCTGCTGCTGCCATAATTAAGACCCATTTCGAATGTTTACGTGCAAAATTAAAAATGATTTTCCTTCTGTGGCGTACGGTTCAAAAGTTATTATCATAAACAAGTGGTGGCGCTAGAGAGTTTGAGATAGACTCCAAATTTGCTATGGTTAATGTTGAGATTGCCCTCTATCAGTGTGCCAAATTTCACAACTTTCCCGCAAGCAGTTCTATAGGCTGCCACACTGCAAAAAATGCTTTTCTAGTTTAGAATTTGTCGTTTCCAGACAAAATATCTAAAAATTCTTAAATCAAGAAGGATTTTCTAGACAAGTACAAATTATTGTCATTTTCAGAAAAAAGAAAGTCAAAATTAAGTGAGTTTTTGCTTGAAACAAGCAAAATAATCTGCCAATGGGGTAAGCAAAATAATCTTGTTTTCTGTTTGAAATAAAATGCATTTTTTTGTTTAGGCTAATTCCATATTATTGTTACAACTTAAATGCATGATGTCATAATAACAAATGCCCAGTATGAAGGCAGTATGTTCTCAGCTGCACTTAAAGGCAGCCTTAGTATTTGTCATGTGATCTCAATATTTCTACACTCGTGTGACATTCTTCATAAATATCATTCATTTCTGTAGAGCTGGGCATTTTAATAAGGATCAGATGAGTGAGTTCAGCTTTGAGAATGAAAACCAACCTGTTTGTTCCTCAGTATCTTCATGTTTGACTCTGAATGTTTCTTCAATCTTCATGTTTTCACTCTCCTCTTTATTAAACGCCATCTTTATAATAGTGAGTCACGTGGATCTCAGCTGCTTCTGCAGGAGTTTTTCAGTGTGTTTGGACACTTTGTCCTGTTTAAGATAAGAATAATTAACAGAAAGAAAATAAATGTAAATATAAATGTAATAAATGTAAACTAAATCTCAATCAGCTCCCTACTTAGTCAGCACACTGGTAAGGAAGTCAATCTGAGCTGTGTTTCCCAAAAGCATTGTAAGCTTAAATACATCATGGGGTCTCCAACCTTTTTGTGAGTGAGGGCTCCCGGAAGGGATAGAATAGTCTCAAGGGCTACTTGTTTGATATACTCCAATATAGGGCTGCACGATAAATCGCATGCGATATTTAATGCGCATCTTGTCAGTAAAGCCGGTTCTGTAATCAGCGGTAAATCTCCATCACCTGCGTGCTTTTACATGGAGCAGCATTAACTACACAGAGCCGTTGTTCACTGACACTGTAGTAAATGCTGCTCCATGTGAAAGCGCGCAGGTGACAGAGATTTACCACTGATTACAGAACCGGCTTTACTGACAAGATGCGCATTAAATATCGCATGCGATTTATCGTGCAGTCCTACTCCTATATATATATATATACAGGGATTGAAATTAACTTTTTTTTCACTTTTTCATTCACCAGCCAATTTGGCTACTAAATTTTTAAGTTACCGGCCATTCATAACTTCTACTAGCCAAAAGAAAAAAAAAAAGACAGAAATACACCAACAGTTTGAGGCTTTCTACACTGGGCGTGAGGGTTGTGCCCTATTGACAAAAAATAATATCTTAATATTGCTGAGTGTGTTATTGTGCTGATATCTTAAGGACTACCGTGGACAGCTGACTCCTAAAGTTTTTGATATTCTTCATATTCTGTGTGCGGGTCAGTTCACAGCAGTGATGGAAATTAATCTTTTCCAATAAGTTTAAATTGATTCTTAACTTTTATGGGCATTCTTACCTTGATACAGCCATTTTTTTCTAAAAGTGTACATCATCTTTTTAGTCAAATTCTTACATTTAATCAGTCAATTATATAATAATAATACATTTAGGCTGTTACTAAACAAATTAAATCAGTAACAATAAAATTCATCTTTGCAGAAGTTGCATATGAAGTGGCATTTAGATGCATTTACACGTTAATGCAGCTTAGAGGGACATGGAATGCTTTAAACTGCAGTTACAAATGCATAAATAATGTTTTGATATTTAAAACATGAAATGTTGAATACTGATATTTGAAATTATTAAAAAAATGAAAAGATACTTTAAATGTGAAATTAAAA